TTAAAAAATTAAAAAATAAAAAGGAGATTTAAGGTATATGATGAGACTAAGGTGATTAGATAAGCTTTGAAAAATCTAACTTCATGTGAAGTTCATAATTTATCATAAATTCATATTTGTTTGGGACTTCAATCCTAAAGTTTATGTGATGAAATTTTTCCCTTATTAGCTTCTTTAGTCATATTTATGAATGCAAGTAGTTAGGAGTCTCTTTGACAGAGAGATATCTGTCAGTTCCCTCTGCTTGATGTAACTCCCAGTCTGAGAGTCAGGCTTTAGGAATGTCTCTGGGCAGGAGGCACCACACATCCTCACTGTTCTGCCCCTGGACTTTGCTGTGCTCTCATCTCACGTGTGCCTAGGAGAGCCCATTTTCAGGTGCAAAGCACTGTTTGTGTGGCCCTTAATCTCACGTTTTCCCCATTGCTTTGCAGCACCATCAGCACCAGGCCGCCCAGGCTCTCCATCTGGCCAGTCCACAGCAGCAGTCAGCCATTTACCACGCGGGGCTTGCACCAACCCCACCTTCCATGACACCTGCCTCCAATACGCAGTCGCCACAGAATAGTTTCCCAACAGCACAACAGACCGTCTTTACAATCCATCCTTCTCACGTTCAGCCGGCATATACCAATCCACCCCACATGGCCCATGTACCTCAGGTAATCCAGCATTAGCCTACTTCCTGTGAAGATGGAGTAGGGTGTAGAGGTGCTGAAATAAGCAGTAAAGAGCCAGGTGCTCTCAAAGCTAGGAAACCCTGTGTGTGGTGCCATTTGCCTGTCTCCTTTCCCTGCTCAGTACACGTGATCTGGCCCTCAGTTAAATGTCGGTGTGATTTTGTAACGGGATCAGTGAAGTTGCTTACTTACTGGTCAATCCCTTAACGTTTCCCAGCTGAGACCTTAAAAGTATCTTTCTTTGACTCTGGAATGTACCCAGTCCTTTCCTCCCTGTGTCTGCTTTGCTATGTCTCTTTAGCTTCACTCCTATATATACGTGTGTGTGTGTGCATATATATACACACTCCTCCACACATACACACAGAAGCCTGGCAGGGTTGGAAGGCCTTCACAGATTCTCAGCTGAGTCAGCTTGAATGCTAATCAGAAGTCTTTCCAGTTGTTTTTCCTGGTTATCCCTCCATCTGTTTCGACTATGTGTTGTACTTCTTGAGAGAACTTGGCCTTGTACTTTGGTGCAGTGTAAGTAGAAGTTGGAAACACCCAGGTGCCCTGGAAGCATTTTGGAGCACCTCCAGTATAAGCTTCCAAAGGTTGAAAGGTGTGGTTGCCGTCTGCATCAGCTGCTTACAGAGGTCCAGTGCAGGCCTGTGCCAAGTTGGATTGTCATGAGGAGAAGGAACTGCACTGAAGTTGGGCTCTAGTGCTGTCCTGGAAGGCCCTCCCTGGAGCTGTTGAGGGTGACCTGGCTGTATTAGGTGTCTTTGCTGTTAGTTTATAACAAAACTCTCTTAGGTGGGCTTAGCGAGACCCTATCTCACTGAATTCCATTTCCTGTCAAATAGTGTGCCAGTGAGGCTCTGGCAAGGTGTGGGCTGGAGTTTGGACACAGTTGGAGCTCTCTCAGAATGCTTGTAACCAGTGGTCCACAGTGCAGGAGAGTTGACTTCCTCACCCTGTAGAGTTCAGGTTCTGTAGTGTAGTGCACTGTAGTTTATTTGTTCCTGCTAATGGGGAGGGAGCGGTTTGTTCAGTGTGGGTCAGAGTGCTTTGGTGGAATCAGCTTCATGAGAACTGGGATCTTGTAGGTGCCTAGCAGAAGATGGTGGCTAAATAAGTATGTGAATTCAAATATAAGTTGGGGTTCCAGAAAACCTTACTTGTTACTTTTGTGCAGAAAGAGTAAAAAGGTTAATGCAGTGAAGCCCAAATATGCCATGGGCCTATTTGAATGTGAGTTAAATTGCATTTCATTTGAGGATTATGGTCTAGAACAGTGTGGAGTCTGTGAGGCAGGAAACGAAGGCTCTTCCTGGCCCTGCTAACCCCTTGCAGAGCTGGGTTCCGGCTATTTGGGCTTAAAATCTCCTTTCCAACTTGAACTTGCTATCACTTGGTACAGAGACACTGGACTGGCCCAGATAGCTTCAGATGACTCCTTCCCATAGCACTGGAGCCATTACCTGCAGCTGCCGGAGCCACCGCCTCCTCCTCCTCCCACTCCTGCTCCATCAGCATACCTTTTAGAGAGTAAAGAGAGCCCAAGAATTTCTTCTCCCTGCCTGGTGAACAGGCCACAGCAGAGGGGGTGGGCCACGTGAAGAGAGGGCTAGGATAACCCCTATGATGGCTTCTGACAGTCCTGCTTATCAGGTAGCAATCTGCTTTCCTGTTTGAAAGGAATGCTCTCTGTAAAATGACTTCAGGTCTCACAAGGAAGCCTGATTCTGAAGCACCATTGTGTCTCATGTAATAGTAAGTTGAGGAAGTTACCCTTGCTCAGGTCAGGCCTGCTGTTTTGTGAAGACCTTGCCCCCCACACAGATTCAGTGATGAGAAACACTGGCAATCAGGTCGTTGCAGCCCTGGCATTTACTCAGGCTTACATGGTGCCTACTCCCTCAGCCCTGCAGGATATATCAAAAGGTGAACCAGGGATTGTCCCCAGAGGAGGAAAAAAAAAAGGGGGGCCCTGAGGCCCACCCTTGTCCTTTTCTGAGTGTCCCAGACCAGTGAGAGGAACAGTTGACATGTTGTTTAAGCCGGAGATGTTGCCTGTATGCGTAAAAGAGCTCTCTGTTTCAGGCTCATGTACAGTCAGGAATGGTTCCTTCTCATCCAACTGCCCATGCGCCAATGATGCTAATGACGACACAGCCACCCGGCGGTCCCCAGGCCGCCCTCGCTCAAAGTGCACTACAGCCCATTCCAGTCTCGACAACAGCGCATTTCCCCTATATGACGCACCCTTCAGGTGAGGCGTGTGTGTGCAGGGGCCGCCGGGGCACCCCAAGCATTCTGCTCGCACAGGTTGAATGGCAGGCAGGGCCAGCGCTTCTAGCCCCGTACTCAAGAATAGCAAGACCCGTCTAAGTGTGCACAGGAGGGACTGTGATGATCAGTCAAGGTCAGGGCCTGAGGCTTCCAGGAGCCGAGTCTGTGTGTGTTCTGATGGTATACAGGATTTGGCTTGACGAGAAGCAGCAGCAGCAGCAGCAGCATTCCGGATAGCTGACGCATGCCTAGGACTCAGTTGGCCTTCCTTGTTATGATAGGCTGGACAGGGCAGTGTGTTCCTTCCTGAGTCCCAACAGGCTGACATGTGGGGGGTTATTACCATGGCAGAGTTTGATTGTAGCATGGAGACCACTGATGAGCAAGTGCTGTGTGCGGAGTGGTTTGAGTGTAGCAGCAGCGCCAGCCTACGCCCCGGCCGGGGAGGATACCCGCGATTGTGCTCTGGTGCTGGATGGCTGCCATGGCGATATTTCAGTCTCACCTGTCACTCTGAAAGCAATACTGTGCTTGGCTAAGATTTGGGGAGGGGTACATTAAGGCCTTTTCTCCTGCCCCTGCGCAGCAGGTCTTCTGGGAGTTTTATCTGAAGTGGTTTTACGTCTGACTGGTTTGTTTCTACCCACCCACCACCCACCCCCTATCCCTCCCCACCTTGGTGCAGATGGGAGGGGGCAAGTGAATAAATTCTGAGTCCTATTCAGCTAGTACAAGGATAGTTCACAGGATAGTGCTGCAGAGGCACTAGGCTAATATTCAGTGTTGCCAGTGTTCTGTTTAAATATTCACTTTTCTTTCTTACAGTACAAGCCCACCACCAACAGCAGTTGTAAGGCTGCCCTGGAGGAACCGAAAGGCCAAATTCCCTCCTCCCTTCTTCTGCTTCTACCAACTGGAAGCACAGAAAACTAGAATTTCATTTATTTTGTTTTTAAAAAAATCTATGTTGATTTCTTGTAACATCCAATAGGAATGCTAACAGTTCACTTGCAGTGGAAGATATTTGGACCGAGTAGAGGCATTTAGGAACTTGTGGGCTGTTCCATAATTCCATATGCTATTTCCAAGTCCCGCAAGTACCCCAGCTCTGCTTGCCAAAACTGGAAGTTATTTATTTTTTAATGGCCCTCAAAAAAGTCATGAACACATCAGCTAGCAAAAGAAGTAACAAGAGTGATTCTTGCTGCTATTACTGCTAAAAAAGGAAAAAAAAATAAAAACTTGGAACACCCTTTTACTAAACTTGACAAAGGTTCAGTAAACTCTTACCGTCAAACTGACGGATTATTATTTATAAATCAAGTTTGATGAGGTGATCACTGTCTTCAGTGGTTCAACTTTTAAGTTAAGGGAAAAACTTTTACTTTGTAGATAATATAAAATAAAAACTTAAAAAAAATTAAAAAATAAAAAAAGTTTTAAAAACTGATATCAAGTTAGTGTGTGTTTGTCTAAGCTACTTCGTGTACTGTAGAAGACTGGCTATCGAGGCAGGTGGGCTGCTTGCTACTTTAACTTCCTGGAAGGTCATGGCTGTGAATGACTTTTCTTCTTCACCTTTAGTTCTGGTTCAAGGTATCTCTAGAAAATGACAAGACTGAGATATTCTCTTTGGTGGATTAGCAGTCTGCTTCAGAAGGAGGAAGGCTGGCCAGAGTTGGGCAGCACTGAAAGTCCACAGCCTCAAGCTGGCGCCGATTCTGTAAGCTTTCTTTTTCATATCTCCAGAAACAAAATGTATTAGTCAGAAGCTGTTCCAATTTAGACATCTGTTTTACCAGTAGAGGGCAGGAGACAAAAAAAAACTGCAGTAAAATCAAGCATGATAGTGCCCACCTATAGTCCCAGAAACTTGGGAGGCTGAGGCAGGAGGATCAGAAATTTGAAGCCAGCCTGGGCAACTTAGACCCTGTCTGCAAAAATAAAAAAGGCTGGAGTTGTAGCGCAGAAGTATTTGTTAGTTTGTGGGAGGAAAAGGGGAAAAGCAAGTATTAATAGAGAATATAGTCTTATGGCAACAAATGAAGATTCTGAAAAATTTTTAATTCACATATAGCAACTTGTACATTATAGCAAAATTTGCATTATTCAAGAATAAGTTACTTGTACAGTACATAAACAATACATAAAGATTTTCCAAATTCCTTCTGCTTATAACGATACAAGATGAATCCACTCTGTGTTTTCACTATGTGCTGCTTATTCCAACCAAACTCTGGATGTCTGATGTGTGTTCTTGTTAAAAGGCAGTGGATAATATACTTTGAAGATGTTAGTGCTAATATGACATTTGCAATAGACTTAGCCCTGAATAAAAAGCATGAAGGAATCTCAGGCAACTCTCAGGGAAGAAAGTTCAAGGCCTTGATTTAAGTTAAGAAACTGTTATGTAAAAATAGTGTTCTCTGGCCCAAGATTTTAATGATTGCTATTCCTTTTTCCTACACGGTCCAGAAATGATCAAAGGCAGAAGATTTATACCAGATAAAGCCATATGGATTGCTGGTCTAAAATTCAAGGCAGGTTAGTTGACTTAATTCTTTGGTGCTGGTGACTGTTAGTTTGTAAAAATTCAGTAGTCAGAAGGAAGTGGTGGTGTTGGGAGCTGTTGAGTGATACTTATGGTCCATACGTAGGGCTAACTGGACAAATCCTGCCACTTAGTGTCCAGTTTGGTGCTCAGAGCCTTGCTCTTAGTTGCTGGCACGGCCTCACCTTGCCAGTGAGGATTGGCAGAAGGGAAATGTGGACTGTGGTAGACTAGCTGCAGCCAGCAGGGTGCCTGCCCCTCACTGGTGAGAGTATCTACCCTGGGGACAAACTGTTCCTCTGCTTTAGCAGAAAGGTATCAACTTAGTGTCACTTTTTCCAGGGCCATGAAGGGACTTTTTGTCAGAATGTATGTGAGCAATCCTGGTAACCTTGACACAGGTAGTATTCTGGGGACTTCCAATAGTCTATCACAAAATTTTGGCAACCTGTAGTTTAGACCTGTTAAGTTTGCAGTACCTGGTGTGCCTTGTGGCACTACTTGAGATGTGTATATTGAGCAACTGCTGAAAAGTGAATGCCTCTAGTTGGAAGATGTTTGAATTTATGCCTGGAAGGAGGGCATTCACTTGGTTCACTATCCACCTGTTCCCTTTCCTATGCACATAGGAGAAAATCTGGATCAGTGACCAATCAGAATTGCCTTTCTGTTAGAAAAGAAATTCCAGAATGTTGCTTACTTCTTCAGTGCGTACTTAGCTTTTTTTCTTCAAGATAAGCCTGCTTATAGAAAATAAAGACCAACATCCTTAAAAATGGACCATGGGCTGTGTGTGGTGGTGCTTAGCCTGTGATCCCAGTAACTTGGAAGGCTAAGGCAGGAGGATTGCAAATCCAAGACCAGCCTCAGCAACTTAGTGGGGCCCTTTCTCAAAATAAAAATTGACAAGGGCCAGGAATGTAGCTCCATGATAAAGAGCCCCTGGGTTCAATCCCAAATATTTATAAACAAGAAAAATGGACCACAGCTCTACTGTATGATCCATGAACACACCAGGAGAGTTTTCAGAGTGGTACAGAGGTGGCTGCTTCTCCAGCCCCCTAAGAATCCCCAGAAGTGAAAGTTTCATCTCTTGGAGTAACTAGCAGGAACAGACCAACCCTTTCCACCAGATAAGGAAGGCAGTACTGTTTGTTTGGGGCCGAGGTTTCATGTCACTTCTGAAGCTGGGAATGTTAAGCTGTGCTAAACTCCTCTGTTTCCTGGAAGCCTCTGTGGTAAGCCTAGTGGCTGTACTGAATGGTCTGCTAGCATGCAGGAGCAGCTGACAGCACTGTCACTGCCCCCTCTGTTTATGAGCCTACATGTGGAAGGTTCTGGACAGAGCCCCTCCCATATGAATTGTTTCACTTGTGAAGGGCAAGTACAGATGGAGGTCTGACCTCCCTGACAGACTGTGCCCAAGTGTGCTGGGACAGAATGCTGGCTATGAGCTATGGCACCAGATTCCTAGCTTCCATTTTGGCTCAAAAAGGGAGCCTAAAGCCTATTTAGGGGATAATTTAGTAAGTCACTGGGGGCCTCTGAGCTAGCCTTTTGGTTGAAGATTCACTACAAAGGGTCCAGGAGCCCTTCTTGCCTGTCCCTCCCCCAAACACCCTACCCCCCGTTAACTGAAGTCTCTGTGAAGCTGCTGTAAACCGGAATCCAGTTTATTTATAAGGCACCAGGGTAGAATTTCCTGCCACCCTACTTCAGGAATGGCCTGAACTTCCCTGAAAGGGTGACACACTGCCCTCTGTACATTTAGGAAGGACAGTAGCTACTCAGCAGCTGTCCTGAGGACACCAGGCTGGCTCCAAACACGAGCACGTCAAGCAGGGCTTGCATAGCTGTCCCTGACTGCAGAAACAGCCTGGGTGCTAGTTGAAACAGTGCAATGAAGTAAGCAATGGTTTAGTTTTGAAACCTGAATCCTTTAACAAAATCTGAGGTAAAATGTTTAAAATCGTTTTTGACTTTTAGCTTGTCTCTCTGACAGAGCTTTTGTCCTAAAGCTGAGAGTAGAAGCAGGAGTAGGAGTGGTCACCTGTGGCGTGGACCTGCCACGGGACTGCTTTTACAATGTGAAAATCCAGGGCTTGTTAGTGTTTTGGGCTTCCTGGTGACAACCCCCCCCCCCAGTAGAAAGTCTGTCAGCTCTGACAGTGTCAGTGAAAAGGAACAAGGTTCCACTGCCAGCTCCAGCCCTTACCCCAGCTCCTCTGAGTGACGGGCCTGGTCTCAGGGACCCAGGGCAAGAGCTAGCAGCATCTGTGGACAAGAACTACACCTGTAAACAATAAGTAAGCCAGGTGATGGACGGAACTCACATGGAGGCCCTTTAACAGGCCTAATAGAAGGGTCACGTCCAAACTGGAAAGAGCAGTTGACAGTGTCCCTTAAATCTCTCTCTGGAAGGAAGGAAAGATCATTACATTCACAAGGCCACATTTCTGCTTGTGCTCCTGGGGCAGCTGCGGAGGCCTGGATCCCTTGCTGTCCATCAGAGAAGTGTGTACTGGTTGTCTATGGCCCGCAGGTGGCTCCGCGAGGATGAGTCCATCTCGTAATCTGAGTCCCGAGCTCGACTCACAGGCTCCTGCTCCAGGTGTCGCAGGCTGTTGGCCAGTTCCTCGGGTGAAGGCACCAGGTGGAAGATCTGTTCTGGGGGTGACGATCGGCCTGGGAGACTCTCTGGGCCAGACCCCCTGGGACAACCAGAAGAGCTGAGGTGGGGAAGGCCCAGCTCTGAGTCCCAGCAAGGGAGGGAGAAAGGGAAGAGGACAATGTTGCTGGAACCTAGGGTAAGGACCGAGAGACCATGCTGTCAGAACACAGAACCACCTCTCTGCACTGCACGGTGTGCAGCCAGCTTTCACCCCCTCTGTAACTCCCCACGCCAGCCACCCGCTTCAGTGAGGGTCCTTAGTTGTCACACCTGGTGGCTGGGAGACGACTACCACGTAGCTGGACAGCCGGACGTCGCAGGCAGCACCACATTCCAGTGGGATAGGTGAGCGCTGGAAATGATGCAGCATGTCCACCACTGAGGGAAAGTGCAGGTGCTGCACTCGGCACTGGCCTCGCTCCGTGAGGGACAGGCGCAGGTGCTGCAGGACAGGGAAGGCAGGCTCACACCGTCCCTGGGCTCCAGGGACAGCGTTGGCACAGTCCCCACCTGCCCTGTTCCATACCTTGGCTCTGCCCTGGAAGTTGAATGTGAGCACATACTCCCCACGCCGCGACTCGCTCTGCCGCACCAGGAACACGCCGTGGGCATCAGGACCCTGCCGCTGCACCAGCTGGGCCGCCTGCACTCTGGAGATGGGGCCATGGAACCAGGGGTAGCAGGACAGGAAGTGATCTGTTTTCTGGCAGACTGGGTCCAGCAGTCCCCCGGGAGAAGCACCTGACGTAGAAGATGGTTTACTGGTGACTGGGTGCCACACATTCAGCGTACCAAGAGGAGGGAAGCACCTGACCCTACTTACCTTGGCTTAAGGAATCTCTGCTTCCCCTCCGGGAGCTGGACGCGCTGCGCTCTGGGACAGTGGGAATGTGCAATTCTGCATCTGTGCTCTCCAGCCTGCCAGAGAAGAGGCCATGCTTAAGGACCCGGTGGGTCTGGGTGGGCAGGTGGGCTGTGCAGGGGCGGGCCTCACCCTCGGCCTGCGCTCTCCCAGAGCTCAGCCATCCACGAGTTCAGCTGTTGCTCGTCTCCCACCTCAAAGATGATGTCTGTCCGGTCCTTCACCTGGCAGAGCAGAAAGGGACAGCTATGTAGGTCTGAGAAGTATCTTATCACCCCCTTGGTGTGGAAGCCCCGTCACTCACCCGCAGCACAAAGGTGTAGAGGTTGTCTGGCATCTCAAGGCGTGTGCATCGCCGGACCTCCTGGATGCTGGAGCAGGCTGTTTGGAGCTTGGGCTTTGAACTCTAGGACAGCAAGAGGGGGCGATCAAGCCTTCTCCCTGAGGTCCCCACTCCCCTACATCTGTCTGCTGCTCCCTGGAGGGTTTGTGGAGTGCTTACTGCTAGCACCACCTTCCACTGAGATGCTAAGAATGCTGAGGCCTCCTTGCCTGGACCTATGGACACCACAGCTCAGACACTTGACTGAACTGACACCCTTGTCCTGGTGGTACACAGACCTCTGCCCACCATCCTCATCACACGACACCTCAGTGGGAGGAACTTAGCATGACCACCCCAAATTAAAATCAGCTGTGGAGCCACACTCTCTCCCAGGACTGTCAGGTGGCCTCTTACATTCAGCGTGGTGGCTCTAGCCAGCCACTTTGGGGGTTTTCTCAGAAGGGAGATCCCCTCCCCACCTCTTGTGATAAGGCTGACCCTGAGGAAGGTCAAAGGTTAGGAGGAGCCAGAGATGAGGTGGGTAATGGACAAGGCAGCTGACTGGGTTTCCCTCCCTCCATCAGTGGCTTATTCCCTAGGGGCCAAGAGACAACCAGGTGCTCCTGGAAAAGACCACAGCCCCTGCCAAGCAGCAGAGGAGGGTAGGAGTGGCAAGGAGGCAGGCTCAAAAACAAACTTCCTGGTGCCAGGGGAGCCACCTCCACCCAAAAGGTGCTGGAAGAATCCACCCAAGTGGGCTGGCCACCTGCCCGCCGCTTTAGGGGGTGCTGATAGAAAGTGGGGGGCAGGGCCACCCAGGTTTAGATATTGGGGGAGGAAGAGTGGCTAGCAGCCACACAACTAGCAATCCCAGGCCCACAGGACCAGCATCATGGGCTTCTTCACCCCATTCCCACAGCAGGCCACCCTCACACTCCCCTTTTCCTTCCGGCCCCAGCTGTAAGGCATTGATGCACACTTCCGAATTGGCACTGTCTGCACACATCCCTCCTTTCTGGCTCCCCCCACCTTCAGGGTCGCTGGAGGAAGTAGGCCAGGCCCAGAGGGGAACAGCCCTGGTCTTCCTTTCAGTTCCTCAATCTCCTGTAAGCACTGAGACTAAACAGCAGAGCTGCTGGTTTCATTCTGATGGGGCCTCCCTTCCAGCTCCGCCCCAGGGGCTGAGGGACTGCGGGACTGCTGAGCAGGCAAGCCAGGGGAAAGAGTTCCCCCTCCTTGCCTACGGTGGCCCTGCCCGCTGGCTGGTTCTCCCCGAGCTCCCACACAGCTGTGTGTGTGTCCGTCTCTCGTACGTGTGCATGCACACCACAATGAGAACTCTCAGGCCAGTGTGCCAGCACCAAGCTGCCTGTTCTATATAGTATGTGACACCAGGGGCTGGACCCAGGGCACTGGCCCCTGTGTGTGGACTGGCAGCAGCCCATCTACGCTACAGAAGTAATGGGCAAGCCCAGGCTCCCTATGTTCCATCTGCAGGCAGTACCATTTCAGGCATTTGCGGGGTGAGCAGCAGAGTGGCACCCACCACACCTTGCCTTCTGGGGAGCACTTTTGCTCAGACCCACATCCAGAAAGCTGATCTCTGTGGCCAATCCAGTGGGAATGACCCATTTCTTTGCTGGTAAAGCTCAAAGTGAAAGACAGACCAGCTCTGGCACTGATCCAACAGTGGAGCTTGCATTTTTGCAGCTACTTTTCTCCTGGACTTCATAGTTATCTTGCCCTCTAGTTTTTAGAGTCCAGCCCTGACCCTGCCACTTCCTGTATAAGGGCAAGAGACTCAGCCTCCTCCAGGCTGTGATTGTGTTAGCTGTGCAGCCAGCCATCTTTGGAGCTAGGATTGCAGCTCCATGAACACTTTGCAAAGCCCTGGGTTCCATCCCCACCACCACATGCAAAAAGAAAAAGAAAATGGGGATGGGAGCTGACTCCTCCTGAGCATTGTCAGATTTCCAGGCTGGAGGGTTGAGCCCATGTATAACTAGTGTACAGATAGAGAATGGATTTTGCTTCTAGAGCCAGCCAAGCCCTGGATTTGTCCCAGAGGGATAGCAGAAAGAAAGGCAGGTCCCTCTTCCTCCCACGGTGGCTCTGGGGCCGCCAGCCTGCCTCAGGAAACACACTGACACTGGAGGCAGACCCTTCATCATCTGCTAGGCCTCGAAGCTATCTTGAGAAATGATTCCTGTGCATCGAGGAACAGGGCCGGCACAGAGCTGCCTTGGCCCCTCCAGAAGCTTCTACGACACTAGCTGCATTCTATTCTTCCATGTTCCCATAGCCACCACAACTGGGGTCTGTCAAGCACTTGGCAGGCAGCAGGACCTGCTGCCCACATAAGACATGAGGGGGCTGGCGCAGCAAGGTTAGAAGGCTACACAAGGCTACATACAGGTGGCTGAATGTACACAGATGTGGACCTTTTGGAGAAGCAGGCCTGCTAGTCCCCCCTCTCTACAGGAAGCTAGGAAGAAAGGAATGGGGGGGGGGAACAGCACCTATCCATGCCCAAGTGGCCCATACAACCCTGTGCTGAGCAAGGGCAGGCAGGGCCCTCACGATATTTCACCAGCCTCCGAAGGCCAGGCCCTATATATAGCATGTGACATCCAAACTGGCCCACTGGGGTCCCCAGGCCACACCAGTCCTCTGGCAGTCTCATTTCCCCTAGGGCTGCTGATCCTCCTTTGGGACATGAAGCAGAACAGCCCCAGAATCACTCCACCATCCTTGCTCTCCCACTCACCACCTCTGAGACCCTGGGCATGGAGCCAATCGATGCCTCAACTTCCTTTAGTAACAGGGACAGCAAGCAGGTCCTACTGACCCAGGACTAGAGGCAGGCTCAGTAGTCTTGGATTAAGCCTGAAAAGGTTCAAAGATCCAGTGTCATGGATGGCTGATAAATGAATGAGCACTGCCATGTGAAGTCCTTAATCCAGTCTTACCGATTGGAATAAAAAAGCAATCTATTTTGTATTGCAGTTTTTCTTCCGAGCTTCCTAGCAGCTAAGACAACTCCAAGAGTTGGTGGTTAAAGACTGAGAAGTCTTACAGCAGAACTCATGCATTCCCAGGACTTTGTCCTCTTTTTTGTAGACTTTATTGTCACCCATACCAAGATATCAGGGGTCAAGGTGAAGAAACTTCCTAAACAAGGTTCCTTAGGCTCAATTGCCATGTTATTCACCAGAGACTGCTCAGAAACCCCTGGATCTGCACACCACACAGCATACTCCTTGCCTCAAGGTCTGAGTCAGCCAGTCCTGGGCTTGAGTCCCTGATCTGCCTTCTGGAGGGGACAGACACCCCTCCTTGCCTTGTCCCCAGTTCAGCAATAGGGTAACAATGCCTCTGCCCTCCCATGAGAATCTGGCCATACTGTGTGTGCACAAGAGCCCTCAGGGGACTGGCATTGGCCAAGAGACACACTGGGCTGCAAGAACGATGCAGAGAGGCTCCGCACAGGAGCAGCTGCATCAGCGCACCTCTGCCCGGCACGCCCAGGTTCAGGAGGCCTCCCTCCACCTTCCACCATTGGGTCAGGCAAAGTAAGTGGCTATGTTTGCTGAATTTCTACCAAGTGGACAAAGTGGAGGAAAAGCAAGGCCCAGAGGCTGGCAAGCAAAGGCCATGGGAGGACGGAGCCATTATGGGACTGCGCGCCAGTGACTTCCAGAACATTTCGAGTCACAGGCCACCAACATGTTTAAAATTTTCTAAGAGGAGGTTAACAGGACTAAGGATCAGGCATGTCCCAGAGGAAAGGAATCCTTGATATCAATTAGCCAGATTCATGAGGGAGAAAACTCTCTCCCTGTCCTGGGCCATCTTGTGTCTGGAGATATGTGTGGGAGCTCATGTGATCCTCATTGAGCCCACATCACAAATGAGACAGAGGCTCAGAGAGGGTGCTGTGACCTGGTCACCTCTGGAAGTGAGAGGAGGCACAGCAGGGAAGCTGGACATGTCCTCCCCAAGCACCAGGGAGCCCCAGGAGACTTGGAGGAGGGGAAGGTCTGGCAGGCTAATCCCTTGACACAGAATGGTGGGTGTGGACCAGAGACCAAGCAAGGGGGAGGGAGAGTCGGGTAACATCCTGCACCCCAAAAGTATGACAGGTGGCGCTGTCCTGACTCGCACTCACGGAGACATCCAGGGTTTGCTACCTCCCACCCCGTCTCCTACTCAAAACTTGCCCACAGCCCACTCACCTTGACCCTTGTCAGTTCTTTGAGCTCACCTAGTCTCTCCAACCCCAGCCACACCACCCTGCTGCTCCTAAAACAGACCAAGACACTCAGGCTGTCACTTCTGCTGTCCCCTACCTGCATCTTCACAACCTAGGCCACTTCTCACCTGACCAGGTGTGATGGCAGTCACCACCATGCACTGTGTGCTGCCTTGCCCTAGCTGGCCGTCCATGCCAGCACTCATTCCTCTTCTGAGCTCTGCGGGGACTTGGTGTTTGCCCTCCCGGCATCCTCAGCACGGAGCCCAAAGCCTGGTAGGTTGGTAGTGCTCACTTTCTACAACAAGGATTCATCCTTGGAATGCCAAAGCATCTTGGGTACTAGGGATCAGTGGGGCCAGCTCGCCCAGGTGAGGACTACAGCGGAGTGATGGGGACAACTTCCAGCCACTATGGGCAGGCTGAGGAGAGGGGCAGGATGGGACTTCCTGCACTTCCCCCTAAGGCCAAGGCAGAGGCACTGAGAGGAAAGGCTTAGGTACGGCTGTTGCCCTGTAGCAGTGGACAGCAGGCGGAGACAGGGAGGAGCCAGGACTCTGGCCTCAGGTGCCCAGCCCCACAGGACATTACCTGGCCACCTGGTGGTAGAGACTGCTTGTGTGAGGCTCATCTCAGCAGAGAAAACCTCCATCCCACAGGGAGCCCCCCCAACACCCAGGCATGGCAGTGCCCTGCTATCAGGCAGGCCAGTTTCCTGATGACACAGCTGCCTTCTGCTGACTGGGAGTCCCTCTAGGTGGGGAGGCCATGTTCCCAGCCAGACCCCAGGGAGGTGCAGGAAGCTTGCCCGTGCATGTGGGCAGCAGGG